AAAGAACTGCTGTGAAGGTGACAGAGCACTGGAACAGGCTGCCCAGAGAGGCTGTGGAATCTCTTCTCTGGAGAGACTCAAAACCCACCTGGGCATTTTCCTGTGAAACCTACTGCAGGAAACCTGCTGTACCAGGGGCTCAGGCTGAATAATCTTCAGAGGTCCCTTTCAACACCTACAAAGCTGTGAAAGTCTCATAGCTCACAATGACTGCTGTGCAAGCTTCTAATCTCAGTGCTATACACAGCAAAAGAGCTCATTTTTTCTCAGTTGTACTTTCTAGGTACAGGCAATGCCAGGAGCCTAGCCATAGCCAGAAGCAGGGCACAAAGGAAGATATGAACCAGGTCATGCTTCCACCAACAGAATTCTGTCCCACAGCCTCAGGTAAAGGAAGTAGGATAGATCTCAACAGGTCCATGGAGATGAGGCAGAACAAAGGCCAGCCAGGAAGCCAAGCCTACAGATGCAGGTCAGCAAGGGGAACAGACAGGCAGTGGCATGGAGATGAATACCCAAGCTGTAAAGCAGCTCCCAGGCAAAACTGTGCCCCTTGTAGCCTCTGAGGGCTCCTTCTCATACAGCTTTCCCAGGCAGCTGATCCTAGATTTGACTATGGCATTAACATTGTTGTTCTCATATACCATGATCAGATTTCAGGTGTGCTGGAGGTTTCTAGTGTCCTGATAATATGCATGTCATGTCATTTCTAGAGAAATGCAGAATCAAGTCATTTTTCTGAAAAACCAACCTATTTGAATGTGACAGGAAATCATCACAATTATTCTAAATCCTAGTGACCTAGAAATCCTGATATTGACATACTAATTCTTTGTTGCCTGCTAACAGAATGAAATAAATTACATTTTGTGACTGCATATGGATGGTCTACACTGTACATCCTGCAGTTAGAAATGCATTTGCTCATCAAAGAAGAGAAAGGAACTTGATGGTTTTCTGAAAAAAACCAAACAGCCTCAGAGAAGTAATCAAAATGCAAATCTTTCAAAGAACCAGAGGGAGCTGGAGAATTTTCCTACTTAAACTTCATGTATTTCAAACACATTTGCTGGTTCCTGTCAAACAGCTGAAAATCTCTTGATCTTCAGAGACAAAGAGAGAAATGTTTCAGCAGCTGTAATGGGTAGTAGGTTGCCCAACATCCTAAAAGAAGGTATTTAACACATTTCAAATTAAGTTCTCAGACAAGTATTGTTTTCTTCCTCTAGAAATTAAATGTTACTTTACCGAACTGGCATTTTGAGCTGTTGAAATGTATATTCACTACACAGTTTTATCTATCTGAAAGTAGTGCAAGTTCAACATTTTAGCATTCAAATTTTTTAGCTGCATAAACCTCATTCTACTGTTTACTGTCTCATTCAGTGTGCATTTCTCTGCAAATAAAATGTATCTTGTATATCAGTAGATCCTATACCACTATGGATTGTTATTTGATTTATTACTTCTGATGCAATTTGAATCAACGTGAAATTGTTCAAAACAGTAAGTGGTGTCATTTAAAGCTTCCTTACCTTCATGAAATTTAACTTCCCTACCCTGGTCAAACATTCACTAGTGTAGTAAGCAAGAGCACAGAAGCAATGGTAGCACCATAATCATTATTCTCTGTTTAATCTAGAAAGAACTTGCATATAATGACAATTTTTGTACAACACTGACTTAATTTAATGCCTTTTATTGAGGCATTGTAATTAAATTGAAAAAGGGATAAATCACCCATCACCCAACCATTCTGAGACCCCCAACATGATTCTTTGTGCAAACCACACCTTACTTCACAGCTTTATATGCAGGTATATCTGTAAAGCAGACTGGAGTCCTGGTGGACAATTCACACATTCTTATCCTCACCTTGTTATCTGCATTTAAGAATACCATTCCTCTTCTTACTAACAACTTTTTTGGCATTTTAATATGAGAAAAAAAATTATATTAAGAATAAAAGTCATTGTACTTCATGTTTTGAAAATTTACAAAAAATCATCACTATCCCATCACCATCAAGTACTTTATAAATTCAGACAAAACCAAATAAATGTTATATACATCCTGTCATTGATTACAACAAAAAATACTAACATGAGAGAGCAAAATAAAAGTGTAACAATTTTTCAAATTCATATTCTTATTTTATTCCTATATGTATTCGTAGAGGAAGATTTTAAAAGATTAAGCAAGAGAACAAAGGTTCATTTGCACAGTGAAAGATCAGAAAGAAAAAATGGCAAAGGTGAAAGAACAGTTCAGTATAAGAACAAACTAGCAAAAGGAACAGTCAAAAGGGTGAAATGCTTACAGGAAACACAAAGATTCTTTAAGAAGTATCTTACACAACATCCAAAGAAGATATGTAAAATATGTCTAAAAACATATCTATGTTCAAAAGAACAAAGAAAATCAGATACAGCTAACACAGGAAGCTATTACAAGTCATCTTTCAAGAAGGTGAAGTAGTATCCAGCAAGGAAAATGGAAAAAAATGAATTCTTGTAAGCTACAGTAAGGTAGATTCAAAACTGATTTTGTGAAATAATGTGTATAGGTATAAAAGACATCAGCAATACAGGGCTGCCACAGCGTCAGTCTAAATTAAATACTTTGGTTTCATGTTCATTGTGATTACGAAGACTTACTCTAGAATCTTAATTTACATGAAGTGACCCAAACTGATCTTTCAGAAAAATGATCTGCAAAGTAAATCAACAAAACAATAATTATTTCTCAAAAAAAGCAGATTCTATATTCAGTGTAAAATATGTCAAGCATAAAACATGTAACTACTGACTGAAAAATAGTCTCACATTGACAAGATGAATAAGAGGAAAGAGTGAGGCCAGTTTATTTAAGACTTGGAGAGTGTGATCACCTAATAGACATGTGAGCCTGACATCCCCACTGCACAAATCTGTGGAAACCAAAATACTCAATAAAATTAGAAAGTATTTGAATAGATTATAGTAAAACGTAGAAAAAAAGCACTAGTAACAGGAAGTCATGGCTGTTACATTTACTAGAATTTCTTCTAGAAATCACTGAGAAAGTAAGTAAATTGAGTTTGTTGGTATAGCTGTGTTGGACTTCCAAGCTTTTGAAGAATTTCATCTACCATGAAAGAGAACTAAATGAAGTCAAGAGAAAATTTAGCTGGTTTAAGACAAATAAATTAACAGGAATAAATGGTCAGTGCTTTTTAACTGAGAGCTATTTCCAATGAAGACCCACAGGGAATCTGTCTAGAGATGATTTTTCCAGCATGTTTATAAGTGATCAAGAACAGAAGGCATGAGAGCCAGAAAAGTTTATTTATTACACTGAATTATCGTCCATAGCATTAGAAAAATGCCAACTGAGAGGAACTGCAGAAAAGACTCAAAATGGTGAATGTGGAAGTGGCCTTACAGAAAGATAGAATTAGACTGTAAGCAATGGAACAAATGACCTAAGAGGGTATAAAAGAATCACATTGGAGATTTGTCAAGATAAGTTAGACAAATATCTGCCAAATTTATATGATTCTTCCTGAGGAAGGTCTCTTCCAACTCTAAAGAATGTCTTAAAGATCTCATTAGGAAATGATGCATTCCTCCTAACATTCTCTTTCTTTGTCTCTTCATATAATGACACAAAAAACTGCCCTGATAGCTTTTATAATCAGATTGAACTAGTCCATGAATTATTATCTCTCTGATTAACAGTTACACAGTTTAGTTGTAAAAGCAATAATATGTAAGCTTACTCAAGGTAAAAGTTTCAATAGACTTTTAAAGTGACCTTAACAAAATCTGGTCATAGCAAGGCATTTTGAAAGATTTATTCATAATCTCAGTTTCTTTGATCATAAGCAAATAGATTATTTTCTACTCTGTCAATCAAAACTTCAGCCCATTATTTAAGCCTCCTTGGACAAAAAAAGTGTATAACATTGTCGCCTGCCTTCCAACAGATTAAGACAGTAACTATAGATTGCAGTGAATCTATCACAGAAAAAATGATTTCTGGAAATAAATTAGATTGACACACGATTATGTTAATAAATACATGACTGTGTTGATTTATAAAATGTGTTTCCACAAAAAACTACTATGAGTTTTGAGTAGCCAAGAATATTCTAACAAATATCTGTCTGAGTCTGGGAGAGACATCTATAAGATGTGAACAATATCTGAAGAACTGAATAAACTAATTTCAGAACAGAAGTTCTCCATAATTACCTCAGTCCTGCTGAATGTTTTATTCCATGACCAAACTTCTTAAAAATTCAGTTTGCTCTTTTACCTGTTCTTACATAATAAACACCTGTAATGTCAGCTGTAAATCTGTACTGTTATCACATTGAATTTTTGTACGAAGCAATACCTCCTATTTTATTATGTTGCTCCACAATGTCAGAGGCAGATGGTGGAGGTAAGGCAGTAGAGGTTGAACCTTCTTGTCAATATCCACATGGCAACATATCGTTGCCATGTAACAGATGGCATAAGACTGCCTCTTACATGGAAGTGTGGAGTTGAATTGCTTCATGCAGAAAAAATGCATCCACTGACATTCATCAATGCTTGCTGAATGTTCATGGAGACCAAAGAGCAGATGTGAGCACAGTGAGGTGGTGGGTGGTGCATTTCAGCACTGGTGACAGATGTGAAAGACAAGCCAAATTCTGGATGGCCATGCAGATATTTACAAGCATGGCATGCAGGCTCTTGTTCATTGCTAGTGACAGTGTGAAGTTAATGATGGTGACCAAGCTGAAAAATAGTGTTTTGTAGCTGAGAATTTGCACTATCAAATTGTGTTATTGTACTCTTATATCTGCTGTTGTTTCCATGAAAATAAATAGGAGGCATTACTTTCAGAACAATCTATGTAGGTATAATTTCCTCCTTAAAGGAAATCTGTTTCAGTAGATAGCACACTTAAGCAAGGAATAAGAGATACTGAGGTTTGAATTTTGTTGCTAAATTTTCATAACTCCATACCTTATTTGACCGTAAAGATACTCTTCCTCCACAGCGTGCACAGAACTTAGTTTGGCAATATGAACAGTTATGGCCACAGCCATCAGCAAATTTTGTTTTGTGGCAGATGCCACAGGTTGGGGCATCACCCTTCTGCTCCTGCTGCTGCTGTGATTCTTCACCCATCTTCTTCACTTGCTCCTTATACATTTCAAACTGTTGATGTAGTTTTCTGCAGAAGAAAAGAGATCATTAACAGTTGGTTTTTTTTTAATTGTTATTTATGCTTACAAATACTTCACAATCACTAAATTGCAATCAACTTCAGAACACAAGTCTGAGAGAAACACATTTTACTTCCGGTGCTTCAGAAGCATAACCTTTAAGAACTACTTTCTTTCCAACTGAACTGAACTCAAGGTGGTTACCCAAAACCAATAGCATACAGCACGCATTCTAGCTGTTTCAAAAAGAAGTAACTTTGCTTTAGGATGTGACCAGCTGTGAGCTGCAAATACAACTGTAGGAAATACAGACTGAGTGATTCAAGAGCCCACAGCACTAGATAACAAACTGGTTAGTAGCAGGAAAAAAAAAATCTCATTCTTCCAAGTACATTTTTACATAAGTCCATCAGACAGATGCAAGTATATTTTGGTAAATTACTTATCCAAAAACACTGCACAGATTAATTATTCTGAAATGTTTTATCAATTATTTTTCAAGCATTGGGCACAATCCCAAGCCGATAACAAGTTACCACAGTTAAGCTGTGGTACAGATAAACTACAGATAAAGTAATTTATTACTCTTCATTTGAGCCATTCACTTATTTAAATAAGGACTATCATCTCAAGCCAAAGGTAGAAAGAAGACTACTTTAGGCGTAAAAACTAGGGACAATAGTTTAGAACACAGATACACACACAAAAACTCAACCCATTTAATTTTGCTAATTGAGACCAATATAGTCTAAGGACTTTATTTAGTTCCCTATGCAGATACAAAAACAACCAAAAAAAAAAAAAAAAGTCTACATCCTACAAAACAAAAAGACTATATCCCACAAAATATTAGAAAGGTATAATAAGAAAAGTGCAGGAGGGAGGGATTTCTTTTCTTTTCAGGATTATCTGCTTTCCTGAGATTCTTGAGATGAGGTTATCAAAAGATTGCCAGTATATGAGGCCTAGCACAGCACAAACTGTAACTTCCTGGAGAAAACTTCAGCTGAGAGACCAGCTATCCTTAAAGAGCTCAGATAGAAATCATAGACACAAAATGGCTTCACCAGAAGCATCAGAGGCTCTTACCAAAGCAAACATCAGTACAGTCAGTGAAAAATTACCCCAAGCAATATTATTCACAATGGTTCCCCCACATGTGACAGAAAATGTTGGTCTTTGCTTTATTTTTTTTCAGGAAACCTCTCCTAAGTTCCAATTTACGTTACAGCACAGAGGAGCCATAGGACTGATCAGCAGGCCTGCTGCCATGCAGAAGGCAGGAGGCATGCTGCTTCTCCCACACACCGACAGGATGCCTCCACCTCTGCGTTGCTGCTGCCCTTCTTCCACAGAGCATATTTACTTCATGCTACTTACACCTCCTCTTTCTAGACTACCAGCTCATCACTTGAGCTCAGTTTTGAGTCCACACACTCCCCCAGGGCACAGCCCTTCTCTATTTGCACACTTCTAGAACCTTCTGGCCTGCAGCAGAAGCATCAAGAGGAGCAATGCGGGACACGGCAGCCCAGGCAGGCTGTGGAGGCAGGCCCAAGGGTTCCTCTGCCTGCTCTCTGAGGCCAAGAGTTCCCAGCTGACTGCTCCTTGTGGAACGAGGCAGGACAGCAGTTACTAGTAAAAAAAGTGCTGAATGAAGTTGAGAACAAAATTCTGGCACATTTCAATACTTTAGCCTGACAGCAGTATATAATGGGTAGTTGGTAGTCTGGCCCATTTCCATCAACAACACATGCAATTTCCAAAACTTTGCTTGCCTTTTAATTTTGCCAAACATTATGTTCTTCATTTAAAGCATATTATCTATGCTGAACCTCAAGTTTATTTTAGATCACATTTAGTTTTGTGGCTTCCTTGTAATCTACAGCCCTTGTTTTTATGATTATTTTCTTACCAGTCTCACTGATGCATAAAAAGCACAAGGCTTTTGCCAAATTCTAAGCCTCATGTACTGAAATAATTTCACTTTTGTTACCTCTTGGGCACAAGCGTTCCCACAAAGGTCACCGCAACTTTTGCCTGAAATTATAAACTTCAAGGTTATACAGAGAAGTTCTCTAAAATGCTCAATGTAGTAGCAAACACCTTGTTGTCTGCCAAAATAGTTTGTTATTACATCAACATTTTCTGTTTTAAGAAAAATATTACACATTTTGACAGCTGTCAGAAAAAATTAAACACAGGAGACAAAGATCTAGTAAATAATCAGTTAGACTAAACACAGTATGCATTCTACTGAGAAGAACCACTTCAAACATGAATAATTGAAACAAAAAATAAGCATTTCAGAAAATTCATTTAAAAACCTTCTGATCTACTTTGTAAATCAACAATAATTTCTTAGCATTTAGCATGTACAAGGCTTTAAGTCAAAAACTTGCAGCAACACTTACATGTTTAGTACAGTATTTGAGAACATTTAGTAAAAATTGTATGACATACAATTTTCAGAAAACAAATAGCAAATAAAATCCTAATATGTTCACATTGGCTGCATTTGCAGATTCACAGAATTACAGAATTGTAATGGTTGGAAGGGACCTCAAGAGATCATTGAGTCCAACCCCCCTTCTAAAGCCGATACCCTACAACAGGCCACACAGATAGGTATCCTGCCAGGTCTTGAATATCTCCATAGAAGGAGACTCCACAACCTCTCTGGGCAACCTGTTTTAGTGCTCTGTCACCATTACAGAAGTTCTTCTGTTAGTATGGAATGCCCTTTGTTCAAGTTTTAGGTCATTCCTCCTTGTACTATTGCTACACACCACCAAGAGGAGCCTGGCCTCATCCATTTGCCTCCCATCTCTCTTTAGATAATTATGAACATGTAACTGCCTATAACATCACTGCCTCAGAGGGCTTAGGAGTTCACCCATTAGGGAACTGAAAGCAAACAGTATCAAGGTGAACTTCAGAGCCTGAGTCTGAACTTGGGAAACCCAACCTAAAGTTTCCAGTCCCTGCACTCCAGCATGGAACTGTGCTAACGTGAATGGCGAAGGTCTGTGCTTCAAGTCTAAAATACCGTGCTCTGCAGGTGATCTGCATATTAGACCACAATTCTTCTCCATACTACAAATCTTAAGCATGCTGGTGTTTCTGGTTGCAAACCCAAGTACCTTCATCAAAATAGAAACAGAAGGTTTCAGCAGAAAACTCCACAATGGATATTCACAACCCTTACAGACATTTCTTTGTATAGTGGCTTCAAGAGCACCATTACATGCCATTGATGTGTCCTAAGGCAAAGTCTCCTTTTCCACACAGTTTCCAAAGAATGCAAGAGTGTGTTTTAATAACTACTGTAAGTTGTAGAGGAGAAGGAGAGGATGGCACACATTTATGCAAAAGCCTAGTGATAATGGAAAGCAAGGCTGGAAAACTGCTGTTTAGTTCTCGTCATTTTCAACTCCTCTAAGAATGAGTTCCCTGAATACCAGTCATATCTGCTGGAAGTTACACTAGTGCAGTTCCTGAGACTTACTTGACTAGCTAACTCTGTACAGTAAAATCTTGTGTCTGAGATTGCTGCTTAGAGGGCTTTCAAATGTCAAAAGCAAGTCTTTTAAGAGCTGTCAAGATCAAGAAATAGTTTCTATCGGAACACTTAATGATTTATTTACCCTTCTGCTGGAAAAAAGCTTCCTCAATTCTGCTTCTTGGTTCCCCATACCTTTCTGGGAATGAGAAATTCACTATCATCAAGGAACAAGAATCCACGGGCCTCTCACAAAACATGAGCTACTACCAAAGACAAATTGGAAAAACAAGGTCAATCAACTTCTGTAAAATAATAACAGAACAGATGTGTTTTCTCTTGTCCTCCAGAAATGGCTCTGGGTAGCCTAGTCTAGTGACTGGCAACCCTGCCCACAGCAGGGGGTTGAAACTAGATGATCTTTGAGGTCCTTTTCAACCCATGTTATTCTGTGATTCTATGAAATGTCCACAGAACATACAGCATTTGCCCCCCCAAAATAAATTCTTAATATTGACAAGTTCCAAAGCCACTGCTGCCTTACAGAAGTTCACTTATATGTTTCTGAAATATCCAGAACTAAGCATTCAGGGTATTGAAGCCAGATGCAAGCGTGGCAGCCACTTCTCATTTCCTGGCTACAGTTCTCTCAAAGTTTTTTTTACTGATTGTAGCCTGTGCCTCATTTCCTATTCCCAGGCATGGAGCGCGGATGTGGCTGGAATCCAGGCTTTGCTTTCAGTTCTGCCAACTTCCTTCATTCAGTGATTTTTTTTCTGCACAGTGGCAGTGGCCATCCGGTAACAGAAACAATGTTCTTCCCTGTGCTGCATCAAACACTTAATGCCTTCTACTTTCACAGTGGTGCTAACTAACCTGCCAATAAGTACACTTAATTCTGATCTACAGATACTATTTTTGTAAGAGTATTAGCAGAGGTTAGGAACAAGCAGCTGAATATCCATCAGCTATGCTGAAAAAAAGATGGAAAATTCAGTGGAAACCAGGCTGAATATGAGCCAGTGCTATGTCTGCTCTCATTAAACTGGGAAAACTAAAATGGGTTCACGTGAGACAAGAAATGAAGAAAAGCTACTTTTTCCCCACATAGTTGGCCCTAGTGAGGCCCCCAGACTGGGGCCCAGCAGTTCAGGATGGTTGTGGACACACTGGAGAAATCTAGGAGACAGCTGGTAAAATCATCAGTGGCTGTGAGCACCTAACCTGCAACATGGGAGCTGAGATTGTTCATTCTGGCAAAGAGGAATTATTGAACAGCAGCCTCAAACTAGCTAATGAACCTAATAATTACCTGAAACAAGGGGCAAATTCCTTGTAACAGCAAATCTAAGATGGGACAGGAGTCACTGGTA